AGGGCTGTAAATCTTTATGGAAGTGAAGTGCCTCATCTTCCTCCCATGGAGCATCTGGTGGGTTTGAACTGTCAACCTTCTGGTTAACAGCCAAATAAATACCTTACCCACTGTGCCACCAGAGCTCCTTTCATACCCACTAAGATAGCTGTAATCAGTAACTACAAGCATTGGCAAGGATGTATGTGGATAAATTGGAACCCTCTCATACATTGTTGGTGGGAATAGAAGGCAGTTTGGCAGTTCTTCAGAAAGCTAAACATAGAGTTACCATATGACATAGCAATTCTCTTTTAGCTATGTATCCAAGAGAATTAAAAGTATGTGTCTTAACAAAAACTTGGAGACAACTGCTCATAGCTGCATCATCCATAATAACAAAAAGTAGACTTAACCCAAAGTCCATCAACTAATGAATAGATAAACAACATGTGGAATATCCATATAATGGCATAGTATTGTCATAAAAAGGAATGAATGAATCTTAAAAAAATTATTCTAAGTAAAAGAAGGGTACAAAAGATCACATATTGTATAATTCTGTTTATATGAAATCCCCCCCAAATAGGCAAATACATAGAGACAAAAAAGTAGATCAGTGTTTGCCAAAAGCTGAGGAGGATGGAAGAATAGGGCTTTCTTTCTGGAGGAATGAAAAGGTTTTATAATTAATGATGGAAGGTGAATTTTATGATCTGTGAATTATATCTAAAATAATAAAAAAGTATAGTAAAGAGGAATTTTTTTTTTGGAGGAGAAATTGTGAGAGTAAAAGCAGTCAGGCAGGAAAACATGAAATTTGGAAAATAAAAGGTCAGTTGGAGCTGTCTGTTTTATATGTGTTGGAACTAAAGCTGGAAAAGCTGCTTTGAACTAGATAATGAAAATTGCTGTGTTTGGATGTAATTGATAAACAAGGAAGAAAAGGAGTTTGAAGGTTTTCCTTTTAAGATGACATGAAATTGTGTTTTAAGAGGAATGTAACAATTTTTGCTCCAGCTAGCTAATATAGAAACATCTTTCTGGAGCTACTCTGTCCAATAAAAAGTAAAATATTCCATTAAGAATTTTCATATTGATTACATTTTGAAATGATAAAATTTTAGATATATTGGATTCATTAAATATATTATTAAATTAACTTCACCTGTTTCTTTTTACTTTTTAATGTGGCTACTAGAAAATACCAAATTACAGTGCTCACTTCAGCAGCACATATACTAGAAAATACCAAATTACTTACATGACTCAGGTTTCTATTGGACACTGCTATCAGAGAGGCTTCTTTTTCTCTTGAGCATTTAAAATTTTCTCATTTTCCACAGAAGTCTTGAACTAGGAGTGACTTAAGGATCATTTGGTCCAGTTCCTCCTTTTGCATATAAGAAAATAAGGTCCAGAGAGGGAAAATGAATTTTATCCAGTTGTCACTGTGTATGCATTAATTCAATAAGTATCTCTTGAGCACCTCAGTGTCAGCACTGGCTATACAGCCATGAACAGGAGTAGTCTCAGACCTCAAGATGGTTTTAGTCTAATGCTTGAATGAGGAAACTTGTCATGACTCTTTGAGGGAAAGGAGGATGTATGTTATACATTACATAGAAAACTGTACCTCCTACCGAGCCCAGGCAGATATAGGATACTGTTTGAGGTTTATGTATGAATATTAT